TTGTGATGGATCCGTGTAATCGGAACACCATATGCATATTTTGCACTGATAATGCATCGATTGTTGGCCATATACGAACCTCGGCACCTCTGTCACGAAAAGCGAATGTCGACAGTAGTCTGGAACTGTAAATCTTGGCGAAATAAGACACTGATCCTCAATATTGTTGTGGCCGTGAAGCCTAGTCATAGCTCCTGAGGTTGTCAGCTAACGGGACTCTGGTTTTCGAAGCTCGACGGAACTGCTTAGTTTTGTGATGTAGTTTTTTCCAGAACAAGTACGCTCTGATTGCAGACACAAAAGTTTTGATTGGACAATGCTCTCCTAGTCTTGAAGAACTAGCAGTGAAAAAAATACTGCATCACATAACTGAGCGGAACGTTGAAAGATTTCTTCCCATCCACTAGATTTGATGCAAAAATCAGTATCACTGTTAATCTTAATTCTGTAGGAAGATATAGTGAAAATTTCATCACGCCAGGTGTCCTGTGAACAGATATTACCCATGCATTGCATTCACAGAAATGTGTTCCAGATATTATTTAATGGATTTCGCGTTTCAATAACGTACTTTCTTCTCATCTCTAAGTCGGATCATTAAAATTTCTTGACCATATATCTGTAAATGTAGAATCTGTTCGCAAGAAAATTGGAAAAAAACATTGTTCCATAATGAACAGCCTCGTTGCTCTGAGATTTTAGTTTCGTTGTCGCTTCAAGTGAACAGGTTGGTGTAGTCAGCTGAACAATTAAATGTTTCGACAGCATTATGGATATTGAGCCCATAAACGGTTTGGCCAGAATGGTTCGACCAAGACTTTCTAGTGCCATGCAATTCGATCGAAGTGACGAAAGGGTAGTAGCTGTAACAACGAATATCCTAGCTGCTTTCGAAACTGCTGCCGAGAATTCTACCCCAGCTTTCTCCCATCACTTCTACGGATTTGCACGCGGAATGGGAAGTTTGGTTCAACCGTTTCGTCTGTGTATCTCTGTTTATTTTCGGCGCTCGCTCTGTGGTCATCGCTTTTAGTCTGTATGAACGGCCAGTGGTCAGCTGCATCAACTACTGTACTTATCCAATTATCGCATATACCTTGGCAAGCTGTTTATGAATGATGTACGCTGTAATAATTGTAAATTTCTGATTACAATTCATTTGCGATGGCGGTGATGCCAGTAGGTCCATGCTGAGTAATCAGTTGGTCATCTGTTCAACTGCTTGACCTGACCCTTCAGCTTGCCTATCCATGGAAGGCTCTCTAAGATACAACGCGATGCCGTTGTCAAACTATCGTTTGCATTTTATTTTAGGATTTCATGATGATGAGCCAGCACCGAATTACTATATCAGCGCGCAGTCATTTAATCCGGACTCGACGTTTATATAATTGCAAGCATATACGTCAGTCAGTGGATTTGATCAGTGACGTCATCAATCGCCAGAGATGCCTCTATGAGTAAAACATGAAATTTTCATCATAGGTAACAATTTCAAAGTTTGCGTTCTTAGCAGGTGATTTCAGGGATTCGATCTACGCAAGCTCATTACGGGTATATAAAACGAAAAGAAGCCACGAATTATGGGTTGCTAGCAAACTATTACGTCGCATAAATCCGAACAAATGACAAGAGAATGTTGTTCTTATCGAGGATATTGAAAACCAGCATTTTGCCAGTAAATCCATAACATTGTGGTTATTCTAATTATATATGCCTAAAGAGAGGCCTATATGTTGGTCTTCAGACACGTATTTGTTCGACCCAAGAAAATGTGCCGGAGTGAGCCAATGAAGTGCAGTTGCTAAAATACTGTTTAGTCGCATGACTGCTAAAACCTTCCCTAAGCAACTTAGAGCAAAGGAGCGGGTGGACGGTGTATATCTGAAGAAATGGCAGGAGCATGTCACTTTTGGAGGAGCATTGAAAATCTTCAGTTTGCTAGCAAACTCACAAAACCGAGGTTTATTTCTCTCATTCCATTCCAACGTCTTCATGGTGTTTCGAAGTCAATTTTGTAAAAAAATTGAAGAAACCTCTCATTCGGGAGCAACAGCCGTATCTATCACTAGGTTCACGTGCAACCCAAGCATGGGTAATACTTTGCTGTTTGATGCATCTTCCGGACTAGCAAAATTTGACAGACAACCCAAGTGTCCAACTTGGTCAAGTTTAGCTTAATAGAAGTGGTCTCAGATTTATCTTAAGGATTAGACACTGCTCATGCGAAGGTAATATTTCATGAATTTAAGGATCTCTACGAATTGGTCCATCATTCAACTTGAAGTTGTGATATTCACCGTCGTAGATGTCGCTGTTTCATCATCCCAATCGATTCGACCTGGACGAAACATTTACCACAGAAACGCTCACTTCGACCAAGTTGTGGGTAAATGATAGACAATTGGCAACACGAAAGAGCCGGTTAGCCATGGTTTTCCTACCTAAGTTAGATTAATGTTAGAAGACATTTTGAAAACAGGACGAACCGCGTTCCTGCAGGACTCATAGACAAATTTTCCAAGCTTCGTGTTATTTCTTTGACGGCTTTCATGTGGTTACACCCTGAAGATAATGGTCGATGAACTGAAAGCGTCAAAATATTTAATCTCTGCTAGGTGAATATGCATTTTTCAAAAATAAAACAAAACTTTTAAACCGAGCGACTTCCTTGACTCACCTCAATCAAACGGACGACATTCGGATGATGAAGCTTCTTAAGAATGGCAATTTCCGTGGCGATCCTCGTTAGCGGACTAGTGACTTTCCCGGTCGGCTTCCCTGTACGGACTGGGGGTTCTCCTATTAAAATTTGCAAATGACACAGATGCTCGAGGAATATAATTATATTAAATAAACTGCATTGAATGACTCAATTTGCATGTATCTGCGCTTCCCTAGGTTCAACAGGAAACCATTAATCATCTTGTCTAACAGAGAGAAACCACTATTCATTGATAAAATTACCCGTTACCATAACAGACATACTAATCCTGTTGTTTACTGAACGATGACGGTCAGAAGCTTTGCAGAGGCTCAGGATTTGACATAGGCGTGAACATACTTCAGTGAAATCGAGGTTTCATAAGATAAGACAGAGGGGCGAATCAGTTTCTGTCCAGAGCAGTATGGATGGAATATCAATCTGGACAATGATATATGCAGGGGTCTAATTAATTACTAAAAGTACAGGCCTGATCGATGCTAATTAAGTAGCATACCATTTATAACAATGATCCAACAATAGCACACGGAGCAAAAGTGCATCAGTAGAAACTACGATGGTCTTCCACCAATGATGACACATGCAAAGGTGGCACCTCAGACAAAAGCTGAAGATATACCAAGGCGTTCAGCAGCGCACAAAAAGATGCGATAAACGTTGCATTTTTTGCCTTACCTTTGTCGTTTATTGCCATGGTTATATCTACGGTTTTGATAACATATTAATTGATGATACATTCATAATATCATCGGTATTCAACTGTTATATGCCAATTACCAACTCAAGACAGGAGTAAATTGGGAATGCGATTTGTAGCATCCGCTTCCAAAAAGAGAGATCGGACGGGCGCTCGAATTATCGAAACATATTATTATTACATCTCCTAGTAAACGTTTATCGAAAGTGTTGTGTATGCAGTCGGTTGTAACTCTGCTTTGATCTCTCCGCTGTTTTCCCACTAGCTAGGGCTTAATCGCTGGTAATAAGCGAGATCATTATTCATGACGACTAATGTACTGATTGCAACGCGCGTCCCTAAGCAAATAGTGTTTGACTGATCGCACTGTTGGAAAGGAGGTATCGCGGAATAGCTGGCCCAGAGATCTACAATAAGAAGCGTGGCTTTTGTCCAGGCCGAAATTCCTCTGACCAGATCTACGTCCTCACCTGATTGACGAAAAACCGTAAGAGTTCGCTCATCCTGCTTACGAGTGCTTTGTATATTTTGAAAAGGCCTATTACCGGATCTTGAGTCAAAAGCAATAATCGCACCTGCAGATGCGTAAGATCAAAGGTCAGTTGTTATATTGTGTCTGATCACTGTATTCTGATAAAAGTGCTGCGTCAGAGTTAATGGCATTAAGTCGAAACCATTCAACTTTCGCAATGGCCTCCGCCAAGGCTGCGTCCTGTCCCCTATCCTGTTTGTGTTGTATATGGATAGAATAGTCAGGAGCTGCCAAGGCGATGAGGATATCGGTGTAGGAGATGTGAAGTCAAGAAGGTTGCTGTTTGCAGACGACCTTGTTTTATTAGCATCATCTGAAACTGATCCAGCATAGTTCGACGTGGCCAGCATGCGTGTGACCGTATTTAAAACGATAAATTCGATCTTATGACTGCTGCGCCATTTAGATAAACGGAGGCGCGGTTGAGTTCGCGGAACTCGTGGTCGTATTTACTGGTGATGGAAAATGGGAGGAAGAGTACGAACGACCAATGGCGTTTTCTTCAGAAGCGTTGGAACTGAGGCAGAATTGAGTCTGAAAACGAAGCTACTGTGTTAGAGTCGATTTTCATCTTTTTGCCGACCTAGGCCAAAATTCATGAGCATTGACTGACAAACATGGGAGTCTGGGAAAAGCAGCTGAAACGTACTACTTGAGACGAAGCGCTGGGCTGACGCATCTTGGCATGGTCCGAAGTTCAGAAATCTGAGAACGCCTCGTGTGCAGCCTGTTTCTCCAGATTGAAGAGTCACGACAGCAACGGCTTAGGCATGTTTCCCAAACATTAGGGAAGCGAAATGGTTACAACTGTTTTCGACGATTTTCGGTAGAGCCTCCGCCAAGGCTAAGAATGACTTGGAGTAATTATTACCTTGAAGGGCTTTGCTCCAGGTTCAGGTCATTTTCCGTTGCAGATCAGACTGGCGCAGGGTGGTGAATTTTGGAGGCTCTGCATGATGATGCTGCCTCTGCGTCCAAAAGGATAAGCGGTCATCGAAACTTGAGTGACAGTTCAGTTAGCAACAATTACATAGGTCATCCTTCAGAGTTCTGGCTGATGATATCACACATAAATATGAATGACGTGCAACGCTGTTTATGATACTGGCGATTCAAGGGGATATGAATAATATTCTGTTCTTTTCTGTTTTTAATGACCATCCAGTTGGTACCGCTTCGATTTCATTTTATGTGTTACAATGACCAGGGAAGTCAAAATGAGAAAAAAATTCCAACCTGCGTTTTTCAGCAACTGATGTACGGACGAAATAGCTTTTAAAATTTTCACTCATACTTGCAATTCCTTGTCCTTTCCTTAGGCAGAGATTTTC